ACTGGAACTACATACATCAATTCTACTTTTTAACTATTTTCTTCTATAGTCATATATACTGACAGCAATAAAGAGACAAATATCATACCCATTTCCCCAACTGACCCCTCTCACCTCTGGATTTCATTAGTTGTTGCTTTTCCATTGACTGCATGGTCCTGATTCAAGTGCCTCCTTAGGGCTATCTTAGCAGGAGAAAATCTGGTATAATCAGGTAAGGACAAGCTGGATGTCTTGTCTGCCTTCTGTCTACTGCTATGGTTTGGGGTACATGGAACTATTTCTTGGTCCAGGTGAGAGGTCATATACTGAGGGGTGTTTTGCTTGGAAGAGGGCCGGCTAAGAGCATTATGGATTTCATAGGGAGTAGCATGGCCATTCATGGACAGTTCGGGACTCATGCCATTGATATGGGTCATAGGAAATTTAGAACACTCAAGCTCAAGTTGGAACCTGCCATGATCAACCTCAGGTTCACGACTTAGATGATTTTTATTGCGTAGTTGTATCGACAAGGACTCATCGGACGGCGTATAGGATTTCAGCTGCATGAGCTCCTGCTGCCTTTGACTTTTCTCAAGCTCCACAATGCTGATCTTTAAATGAAGAGGAGGGCAAAGATTAAACAATATACATAATGGAATTTTGTCTTCAGCTGCTTCTCAGAGAAAGCATTCCTTTTGGATGATAAAGCAAACAATCTATGATTTTAAAAATTACTATTTGCATATGGAGACATGGTTCTGAATTTGTGAAAAAGGTACAGCTAAAGGATATGGTTTCAAGAGAATCTCAGGAAATGTATTTTGGAGTGTGTAAATCAAGTTTAACATGTCGAAAGTCAGATTTTGAACAAACCAACCCCTCCCTACCTCTTCTTCTCTCCCCCACTAAACACCACTGGATTGCTGGGGCATGGAAAGACCCTACTCAAAAACAGCACCCAACATCTTGTCCAGTAATACACCTGAATTTTGGTTACCACTTCTAGTGAAAAAATCAGGACAGTCACCCTGTTATGAAAGAAAGGTTCTATGGAAGAATGGGGCCAATTTTTCATCAACAGGTTAAAGATGTTCTGTGAGAACTGATGGCTGAAAACACAAGTTCAAAGCACACACAGATCAGGGAATCACAGAAAGTGACGGCTGGAAGGAACCTCAAGTGGTCATCTAGTCCAACCCCCTGCTCAAAGCAGGACCATCCCCAACTAGATCATCCCAGCCAGGGCTTTATCAAGATGGGCCTTAAAAACCTCCAAGGATGGAACTTCCATCACCTCTCTAGGTAACTCATTCCAATGCTTCACCTGCCTCCTAGTGAGAAAATTCTTCCTAATATCCAACCTAAACTTCCCTTGCTGCAACTTGAGACCATTGCTCCTTATTCTGTCATCACTGAAAACAGTCCAGTTCCATCCTTTCTGGAACGCCCCCTCAAGTAGTTAAAGGCTGCTATTCAATCCCCCCATAGTCTTCTCTTCTCCAAACTAAATAAACCCAGTTCCCACAGCCTCTGCTCAAAAGTCACGTGCCTCAGCCCTCACACCATATTCACTGCTCTCCGCTGGACTTTCTCCATCTTGTCCACACCCTTTCTATAGTGGAGGGCCCAAAACTGGACACAGTACTCCAGATTTGGCCTCACCAGTACAGAATAGAGGGAAGTAATTACTTCCCTTGATCTGCTAGCAATGCTCCTACTAATGCAGCCCAGTCTGCTGTTAGCCTTCTTGGCAACAAGGGCACACTGTTGACTTGTATTCATCTAATCGTCCACTGTAACCTCTAGGTCCTTTTCTGCAGAGCTACTGCCCAGCTGGTCAGCCCCTAGCTGCAGCAGTACACAGGATTCTTCCATCCTAAGTCCAGGACTTTGCACTTGTCCTTGCTGAACCCCATGAGCTTTCTTTTGGCCCAATCCTCCAATCTGTCTAGGTCACTCTAAATCCTAGCCCTACCCTCCACTACTCCCCCCACAGTTTGGTGTCATCCGCAAACTTGCTGAGGGTGCACTCCCATCCCACCTTCCAGATCATTAATGAAGATACTGAATAAAACCAGCCCCAGGACTGACCCTTGGGGCACTCCCCTTGATACCAGCTACCAACTAGACCGAGCCATTGACTACTATCTGTTGAGCCCAACAACCTAGCCAGCTTTCTATCCACCTTACAGTCCATTCATCTAACCTGTACTTCCTCCGCTTGCTTGGAAGACTGCTGTGGGAGACTGTACCAAAAGCCCTGCTAAAGTCAAAGTATATTACATCCACTGCTTTCCCTGCATCCACAAAGCTGATCATCTCATCGTAGATGGCAATCAGTTTGGTCAGGCATGACTTGCCCTTGGTGAATCCATGCTGACTGTTTCTAATGATCTTCTTCTCCTCTAAGTGCTTAGAAATGGATTTTTTGAGGACCTGCTCCATGATTTTTTCACGGACTGAGGTGAGGCTGACTGGGCCATAGTTCCTTGGATTCTCCTCCTTCCCTTTCGTAAAGATGGGCACTATACCTCCCTTGTCAGGAGAAGGGGACCTGATGGTGGGAGTCTATTACAGGCCAAACTGCTGGCAAACTGTCCTGTTTCCTTCTCCCTAGTCCCAGACACTGAGCAGAAACAACAGTTGCTAGGATTTTCTTATTTGTGTCTAGTGAAAGAGGATTTTACTGATGCAGGGAGGTGTTGATTAACCAAAGCCTATTCTTCCCCAGCTCTGGTATGTAGTCAGGTCAGGGATCTAAAAAAAAGATCCCAAGAACATTTCTGGGCAATCAGAAGTTATCTGCATCATTGCTTTTAATTTTTTCCCAATACTTTCTAATAATTGTTTCATTAATTAATCCTGCCATGTAGCCAGCAGGTCTACACACCAGGATCTTGTTAGGCAAAAATAAATTGAGTAACTTACAGGAGAGATGTACCCCTAACTGGAAAACTGACTGAATGCTATTCAGAGCTGGTGGCTCTAGAACTTCACTCCATTCTACCTGCAATTCCAAGCAGTGCTTTTGTTTCTCCGAAATCTGATTCTTCAGCGCCTGTTTTTCCTTCAGTAAGTTCTCAAGTGAAAGAGTTGACCAGTCCAATTTCAGTTCTTCACACCGTGCCTTAAGCTGTAAGCACATTAATGGACAAGTCAATAGGAGGTTTCACAACCTTAAACAACCCAAGGAGCAGGACAGAATCCCACAAGTCTCTCAGCTGAAGATAAGGACATTTTCTATCCTATTGAGAATGAGCTGCCTCTTCCATGCAAACATTCTAGCTCTAGGGGAAAAAAAATAATCTCCAGCTCTTGTTAGTATAGCAGGAGGTAGTTTGGTTCTGCCTAGCTGGGGCATGCAGTTAGCACTCACCACTAAATACTTCTGCATCCAGCTTCCCCAATACCTGCTGCAGTTCCAGGAACTGAGTGAGGGATAAAGTAAAGGTTGCAGACAAGCAAGAATTGTGCAGACTTCTTGACCAACGAGATTCGTCACCTCAGTTCTGAGATGTTATCCCATCAATCCCCATAAGAACATAAGTGCTATACAGGGTCAATCTAGCCCAGTATCCCATCTCTGACAATGGCAGAAGTGGATGCTATACAAGGAGAACACCAAACCCGAGTCTCTACAGTGATCTATTCCTTATTCTATGCCCTTCCTGGCATCCATCTTGTATTGGTTTAGAGATGCCATTGGTTTAGAGATGCCATTAACATCCATCCACCCATGAATTTATCCAGTCCCTTTTTGAACCTAGCTATGTTACCTGCCTCCACCACCTGTAGCAACAAATTCCGCAAGTTAACTATGCAGTGTGTAAAAAAAGTACTTTCTCTTGTTAGTTTAAAACTAAGTGCCCCTTTTGCCATGGAGGAGGCTGAGGTCACCAAAACCAGCTTACTAGGTTTCAAATTAAGATCTCTAAAAGGATGGACTGCCCACCCACTTCCTCTCCAGATCAAGACATTCTTTTGAAATACTTCCTGATTAAAACTGGGGTAAAGGAAGGGGAGACAGGAGGTGCACAAAAGGAAAGCAACCGATAAGCCAAAAGATCAAACTCTACCAAGAAAAAAAAGAGAAGGAAGCCAGAGACAACAGGTGAGATCAAGAGTGACCACATGAACTGAACATACGATCTCTTCCCGTGAGTGTGGCATTCTTTACATTGACTACATTTTTCTAGACCCTAGAGGAGCCAAGCTTTCCTAGCAGCTTTTGTTCTCATTGAGATATAAAACAGGAAAAAAGCAACATTCAGTTTATGACCTCTACATTCTACAAAAATACGGACATCACTTGGCTGGGCATACTAGTCAGACGGAAGCACAGTACGCACCAGCTGCAAGCTCTGGTTCCTGAGTTCACTGTTATCTTTCTCCAGCTGCTTCGTCTGTTCTTTCAGCTGCTGGTTGTGAGCAGAGATCTCCTTCTGAGCCTGAATCAGGTCATTATATGTCAGAGCCTTAACTCCCAACTACAGAAAGGAAAGAATAAAAAGGTTAAGTTAAAGAATAACTCATTATTCCAACTCCAGATAACTGTCATATAATAGGACAAAGTTTCATGCTTCTATGGCAACCGTCCTGAGGAGGCTCACAGCACTTTTACAATCAACAGGAAAGGTTTCAACATTGTACATGGAGTTATTGTCATCTTCCCCATTTTACAAATGGGAGAAAGTTAAGAAAGCAAAGTGGGGTGTGACTTGGCCAAAGCACCTCAAGTCACAGATGGCGATGGCCAGCTGGTAGCACAACTTAGGATTTGACATACAAGTCCTTAGTTGGGCCTTATGAAGGAGATGCTTCCTTCTGTGCCCCTGAGCTTACATTAGCAAGACAGCATTGCTAAGCCCCTGGGTGATAACCACCACCATTTCTAACCCCTCACCTCTCAAATGCTTTTTACAGCCATAGAAGTCTGGAAAGCTACTGACCTGCTTAATACACAATTGCACAAAATGTACCCAATCAAGACCAAGAACCAGTTGACCGGAGCCTAAAACTCTAAAAGACTTGGCCCCAGAGAGCATACATAATGTTAACTGATGAGACACAAGAGGTCTGGTGCTTGCAAATCGGGAATCCAAGGCAGAGAGATCACATGACTTGCCCAAGGTCACATGCACCAATCTCTGGCAGAGGCTGAATCAGAACCCATTTCTTGCAGTTCTGTGACAAACAAGATTGTCCCAAATACAGCTTCGTCTCGAGTTCTCTGCTGAGCAATGCAGAAAGGACTGTACCGTTGGCAGTATGGGGTGGAAAGTGGCCTGGATGAATAAGAACAAGTTCTCCAGATGTGCAATTACTAATGAATGTTACTGCTGCTTTATTTTATTTTATTTTTTTACAAAGAGCAGAACAGAATATGAATCTTTACAATGAAACCACTGTTTCAAACTTCAACTCTATTCCTAAGAACATTGAGAAATGCTGTCCTGGGTCAGTCGCAGGCCCAGTATCTCACAGTAGCAGAGAACAGCTGACCAATCTGTTCCCCTGCCCCTCTTCCATTACAGCTGCCAGCATTTAAAGCAGGGGTAGGCAATTATTTGGGCCCAGAGGGCACAGGCTGTTGCAGACCAGTCAGCACCCCTTTGCACCCACACCCTCCCTACAATAGCCCACCAAACCCTGAGGCCAAAGGCCCTGTGGCTCCTCTCTACTACCGCCACCAGTGCCCAAGTAGCAGCTCAGTATACAGCCCCAGGCCACCCCACACCCACTCCAGATTCGCCCCAGCCAGAGCAAACAAGCCCAAAGCCACACACACAGCCCTGGCCTGCCCCATACCTGCTCCCCACCAGACTACCCACGATGAGTGACGGTGGCTGGGCAGAGGAGCTGCAGGGCATGGGCTCTGGGTGGCCATAGCAAGTAGGGCCTGGCAGCAGCTGGGGGACTGGGAAGGGGTTTCCCCCCACATGCCCAGCAGCAGCTTCGGCCTGGCTGCCGCTGCTCCCCATTATGGGTAAGCACTCTGGAGTAGGCACAGGGTGGGCCCAGGGCTGGGGCTGTGCACACAGGTCCAGCTGGGGCAAGTAGGGAGCAGATACAGGGCAGGGCAGAGTTAGGGCCGCACGTGCAGGTCCCTGCCAGTCTCCATGGGGCTGGGGCTAGCACCAATAACTGGAAGGAGCCACCCCAGCACCGCTGCGCACTCTGGGGTAGAGGGATGCTTGCCATAAGCCGGACGGCACCTGTCTCAGGGGGGACCAAAGAACCCACCACAGGCCCGTCAGAGTCCCTCCACAGGCCGTATTTTGCCCACCCCTGATTTAAAGGCTTAGAAGTTGTAACCTCAACTAGTCCACTGATGGGCCTTTCTTGAGTGAATGCATTTAATCCTTTTTTGATCCTAGTTAAATTAATCAACTTCTAAGATCTTTTGGCAAGGCATTCCACATGGTGTCTGGAAAAAAAAAAACTGTTTTAAGACTGCTTCCTAATAATTTCCATGAATTCCCCTAGTTCTAGTACTGCAGGAGACTAAATCTTTATTTTCTTTCCCAGTGACATTCATGATTTCATAGACTTCTATCAGATCCACCCCCAGCCTCGAGTCATCTTCTTTCTAAGATGAAGAGTCCTAGCCTATTTAGTCTGCACTGTACAGAAGCTGCTTTCTACTGATCATCCCTCTTGCCCTACTCTGCACTTTTTCCTACTTCCACTATTTGGACATGGAGACCAAGACGCCACTCTCTTCCACCTGAATGTGTCATGTTTTTTTCCTTCATAACCATGAATAACTGGGGAATAGAGCGTCTTCCAACCGCAAATTAAACGTTGTAGTGGCATATGGCCAGTATCAAGCTTGTACATCAAGGTGAAGGCAAGCACTCAGTTGAGCATGGTTTCTGTGCAATCAACCATTACTTAATGGCGACTATTCTAAAGACTGTCACAAACATCCTCCTGCACTAATAAAGCACAGAGGCGGGAGTAGCAAGCTATAATTTACACAACATATGTGGACTGTGACAGAATGGAAACAGTTCCATGTGATCACTGCCCACCGAAACGCTGAAGTCAGAGTAACACTTTAATCCAACAGATTCAGATTTGTTTTTGAATGAGATAATTCTATGCAAATATTTATTTTTATTTAATCTGTTCCCATCAGATGGGGCCATACCTCATCGAGCTTTTGTTGAAACAGTCGCTTGATTTCCTCTTTTTGGGCCTGGCAATGGGTGAACAACTGCTGTGCCGTCCCCAGTAACTGAACGTTCTTTTCCTGAAAGATTCAAGAAAAACAAACAGGATACTCTCCCACTGCACAATGCCTTGAGGGGAATTCTAATTGCCAATCTTACATCCCTTAGCATTTTCATTATATCAGCGCCTCATTAGTCCAGAAGTAGGTAACTCATCATAACAGCAATGTGTAGTAGCGTGAACAATAGTTTTCCCAACATAAAGGCAGTCTCATTATGCAAAATATTTAAAACAAGGCTGTGAAAAGCAAAGATTTTTTGACTGATTTCTTTTACTGAGCTAACTTTACAGTTTGAAGACATGCTGGGCAAGCTTTCACTATGTACTTAGTCCAGTTAAAGATGCCATTAAAAAAAAAAAGAAGAACCAAATTTGCTTTTTGTATATTTCCTAGACCATCACAGGTGCAACGTTCCCACACCATTAAAACAAGCCTGGATAATGAAACACGTACAAAGCTGGGAGTGATCCTGCATTAGTTAGCAGATATTTTTCATTTTCTCTTCTAATCTCATCTTTTCTCTGTGTCTTTAATTTTTTGTTGTACGCTTGCTAGAATCTAACACTAGGTGGAACTGTATTTATTTAAGTTATGGTACTGACATTAATTTATAGCCTTTCCCCTCTCACTCATCATTCTCCCCTCCCAAAAAAGTCAGACATTTGTGAGAAAGGGGAACAGTAGCCACATCTTACAGAGGAGAAACAGAAAAAAGTGAAGATATTAAAGGAATTCATTATGGGGTATAAATGAGATCTGAAGCTGAGCCGGGGAAGATCCCCAGAGATCCAATCCACTTACAGTATGGTTTTCCTATAGAACATAACTTTAAAAGTTTCAGTTAATAAAATAAGTTAGGAAAAAAGACAGTCAGGAAGACCAAGCCACCTTCTAGAGGAGCTTCTCTTTGTTTTTCCTTGTAGAATTCCCTCGTCTGCCTGTTCTTTCTTCAGTTTGCAGGGCAATTCCTGCATATCATGTTCACAGGCAACCACAGCGATTCCTAGACTCTTGCTTGTCAATATCATTCTCTCCCAATTCCCAAGCCAGCAAAGGGTGGGAATAAACTAGCTGAAGAATTTAAAAAATATATATATGGAAGACAAGAGCATATATGGGGGAGAAAGCAGCACAAATTTATAAAGCTTCTTCCTTCTTCCCCACCTCGTTTTCCCACCCACTCCAAAAAGGAGTTCTGCAGAAGCGGAGTATTCACTGAAAGTGCTGAGGAAGGGAAAAAGAAAGATGCGTCTGCATTCAGGAGCAATCCACCTAAGCAATTAAAGAGCAGCGCTGACAGATTCCACGGATGGGCGGGGGGTAGAGACAAAGTATGAAGTTTGACCACCCGCTGCCCAGTGGAACTGTCCCACACATCTGTTTCCAGGAGGAGTATGAAGGTCAGACTGGGAAGGAGTGGGCAAGAGTGGGTGCTTCTGGCTGCATTAGGTTTATCAGATAAACCTAAGTGTTTCCCACTTCAAGATTTTGGAAAAAGAGAACTGTTATGGCTATAACAACATTAAATCCAGTGCCCTGGTGAGGCTGTGAAAGCCTTTGTGCTTCCAACATCTAGGATTTATATCCAATATAGAAGCCAGTAACTCCATCTAAGGGAACCTGGTATATAAGTACGTCATTATCTTGTTAGTGTACTTTATTTTAAAACAGATGCTATACACAGCTTTTGTAAGTAAGACTAAGACATTGTCAGCAAGAACACTAATTAGAAACTGAACTAGTTACTTAAATCAGGGCAAGTTTTGGTCTATTATGATTTAGTACTCACTGCTCTGTTCCATGAAGTCTTTCTATACCAGTGGCCCTCAGTTGGGGTGCTGTGAGACACTTCAGAGGATGCAGAGCCAGCAGCACCACCCCAATTAGCCAAAACTGCTCCATGGAGTCTGACCAGGAAGTTTATCTGATAAACTTAATGCAGGCAGAAGCACCCACTCCTGCCCACTCCTTCCCAGTCTGACCCTCATACTCCTCCTGGAAACAGATGTGTGAGACAGTTCCACTGGGCAGCAGGTACAGCAGCCTGGAGACTTATCTGTGTTTCTCCAGGGTACCATGGCCAACACCAGCTGCAACTGTCCTGCACACTTGTTTCCAAGAGGAGCATGCAGGGCCAGGCAGGGAAGGGCTGCAGCAGGAGCAGGCTCTGGCAAGGCACATGGAGCAATTTTACCCGACTGCAGCAACAGCACCCTAGTTTTAAATAACTAACTTAGGAAAAATAAGGCATTACAACACTGGTTCTCACCTGCCGTCGCACCAAATTCAAAAATGTTATGGAGGGGACCTTGAATCTAAGACAGTTGAGAATCATTATGCACAAATTGCATCCTCCAGGAAAATAAGTCATGTTGGACACCACCCATTTACACCTTTTAGACCATCTTAAATTAGAATACCAATACACTGAACAACACTCGCACTACAATTTCCTTTCTATACTTCGTGCAGAAAAACGTTAACTTGGTACTACAGACTTTCCTCACAAACTTGTAAGCAGAAGCCACGTTGGCAGTAACGTGTGAAACAAATGATAATTACACAGGCTTTGAACAAGTACCACAAGTAATGTTTAACCCATTCTCAGTGAGGGGATATGGTGGAATAGCACGGACCCTTCCTATCTGAAGAAAAGCTCAAGCTTGAGTCCTGAGAAACAGTTCGATGGCTTTGTCAATACTTTGGATTGGGCATATCACAAAGTTGCTACATTCAAGAAATCCTTCCATTAAGAGTGTCAGGTGTCTACAAATGGAATATCTAAAGCCCCAAAAGCATCAGCTGATTCCTTAATTGCTACCCAAAATGTATTTAGTTAGTGAAGCTATACTCACTCTGCTGGACAAATAACTGTACTGCAGTAGAAAAAAATACTGCAAGTCTCTGCAAAGTATTTTTCACAAGTACAATCCTTGCTGTGAAACTACTGAGTATCTTACAAAAATGCTGATGTTGGTAACACACCCGTCACTATAATCTAAAGACCAATGACTTGCACTCACGAAATGTTGCATTTAACCTTCTGTATGACACTATACTGGCCGTTCCCTTATATTTTCAGAATACAAGGAAGTATCAGAAAGCTAACATGATACTGGTTCATTACCTTACCTGCTTCTACACAAACTACTCTAGATGCTGAGGGACTAGTTTCAATGTGCGCTTAATCCTAGGAATCCTGAATAAGGGCTATTTTAGTTTCTAGTTACATTAAGTGAAATTGAATTATCTATATCCAATCTCCAATTCAGATTTAGGGAGCCCAAATCTGAGTCAAGGAACCTTGATCATATGAAGAAAGGATATTCTCATCTAACTTATCATAACCTCATTTTCTTTAGTCCATTGAGTAAAACTGTGGACCTGGAAAATGATGGAACTTAAAAAAAAAAGTTGAAAATATTTTCTTTTTTGATGCTCTAATTCCTGTTGCCTAGCTCATTTAAAGATCCCCAATTCAAACAAACAGCTCAAGTATATTAACAAGTGATGTAAGAAGAATTTAACAATGAATGAAGTCCCAATAGTGTGTAAAAAAACAGCACTATCCCTATTCGGCTGTTGAAGAAACTGATACAAAAAGGTGACACAAACTGGATCAAGGTAAATGTTAAAATCAGTGGCACAGAGCGCAAATGAACCCACAGCTCATACTGCCTTCAGCAAAAAGATATAATCTCTTAAATGAGGCCTTTAATTGGGTCGCAGACTGTACTGGATTTAGGCAAAACAACCAAAACTCTGGATTTCCCCACCTCTCTCTCATCTGAGGAAGCTATACATTTCCAAGCTAGAAACCATTTCATAAAAGGCTTACCTTTTCCTGCTCCAATAACTGTTGCAGGTTTGCTTTGTACTGAGGAGTTTTCATGTACGCCATAAACTGCATGTATTGGATCTTAAAAGAGTCTGCAATAAAAATAAGTGCGCAACAACATTATTTGGAGGAAAGAAGGAAATTCAAGCTCATGGCAAGGACCCTACCGCCTTCTACATGGGCTGTTAGATGCACTGAAGCACTAGAGATCGATTTTATGTATGTTGAAAGCTCCTTGTGTCAATGCAAGCTGACCCCCTTGATTCATTAACCACGGATTAGGTCTCTCATTGTAACCATCCTAATAACACATTTTAAAAGGAAGCACAGAAGCAGCCTTTGAAAGAGGACCTTTGAAAAAGGAGTTTCTTGATGGACTTTCATATAAGTAGAAGCAATAAAAACAGACTGCCTGTTATAGTCACAGTACAGGAGCACTATGGCTCAAAGCTCCAATGTCTTCTCGGTCCCACAGCCTGGGAGTCTCTCTTTGTTCCCGGTCATGTCACCTCCCCTCCACCCTCCCCAAACTACAGAGTTAATAAGTCACATTTAGCATCTCCAAACTCAACCCCTTTCTTTTTATCCTCCTTGACAAAACATTGCTCCATGCTCTGGCTAACTTTAGTCTCGATTCTGTTTAACCTTCCCTTCTGACCATCTTGTTCACAGTGCACCCTTGTACCCCAAAGCCTGTTTATCAAGATACTGTTGAAGTCATGCTCTTCGTCTACCCCTCCTATCAGGCCAGTACCTTTTCTACAGACCTTTTCACTTACATCCAAGTTTCCTGCTAACTTTCATCATGCCCAACATATACCTCTACCTAGCTGTGCCGTATAATCTTATTTCCAGTCGCATGTTGCTCCCTTAATCTTCTTTCAGAAGAAATTCCAGGTCTTCTCATCATAAAATCTTTTACATTTAGAACATACTCCCTGACAGAGCCATCCCACGCTCCAAAACCCTCACACACACAAA